ACCTTTAATACATATTACCACAAAAGGAATACCTGTATAGACTCAGCTCTTATTCTATACAAAACTACACTAAAATCTTTTCTAACCATAAGAGAATTTCCCAATCAAAATACTGTATCATTCAACTTATAGTTTAAGAGCATAGCATCTAGAACCATAGTCTGTTGTTTTAAATTCCGTCTCTATTACTAGTTGTATGACTTTGGGTAAATTCTCTGTGCTTTAATTTCCTTCTCTATAAAATAGAGCCAACAACAATATCTGGGTTTGGTTTCTGCTAAGGGCACGAACCTCGGTTGCAGTTTGTCCCCAGCCCTGGTTGGGTCGTGTGGGAGGCAGCCAATCGATGTGTCCCTTTCATGTCGATGCTTCTCTCTCTCTCTGTCTCTTCCCCTCTCTCCCTCCCACTCTATCTGAACAAAAACTGGAAAAATGTCCTCAAATGAGGCTAAAAAAATTTTATTTTAGAAATTTAAGAGCATGTTATTTATGTTAACATGTAATAAGTTGTTATTCTAAGTTGAATTAATACATATTTTAAAGTTTTCTCAGTTTTGATTTTTAATATGATTAATATAAACAGATGTAGTCCTCAAAATAAAAGGTCTTTGGCGTCCTTAATATTTAAGTGTATAAAAAATGTTGAACTAGATGATGGTTCCTCCTAATTTTAACTGTTATGATTCCATAGTATCTGAAAGCCAGGTATAGAATTTTTAATTCACTATTCATTCACTTGTAACAATGAAATAGTAGTCTGACTATGCTGATATATCTTTTAGCATCATCTAAAGCAGATATCACCATTTAAAATAGAGGAAAACTAGATTAAAACTTTCTCTTGAAAGAGACCATGCTATCTAATTTTTTGTACTCAAAGAGCATTTAGCCCAATGCGTGGTTTTAAGAATCCCTTCATTAGAACTAATAAAAAAGATCATTACCTTTTACCAAATACAGAGACTTTTCTTTCAGATGTAGGTTTGCTTATATTCAACTTTCCAAAGGGTGGTTTCTCTTTGCTTTAAGAAAAGGAGAAAAACAAACTCTTTAAGATAAATATAAAAAATATTAGTTCAAGAAACTTTTGGAAATATGTCAGAACCAAACCTCTTCCCTATTACCTATAAAAATAATTCAAAATTATGAAAACTTTTAGCAGCAATCATAACTGTAATAAATGGAATAGGCTAATATAGTTTAAGTTATAATGCTAAAATCTTAACAAGCTGAAAAGAAACCATTATCTATATTATTTCAGTAATCTTAAAATGTAGACATTTATGGATGACAACTTTAAAGGAAAAGAAAAAAACTTAAAAGCAGATATTTTCAATCAAAGGATGATAGCCACATTAAAAATTTTGTGGAGACCTAGTCTATATCAGAACACAGTTAGCAAACATTATCTAAATTACAGACCCAAAACATTGACAGTAGTAGCCTTTTTGTTTCTAATACAGTTCAAGATAAATCTTTTGACCTAAGTAACGTGCAACAGTACAAAAAATTTTTCTGACTTAAGAAGAAAAAAAAATTTCAAATTTTTAAAAGTAGCAAGGCTCATACTATGTTAACCTAAACAACTTAAGAACAGTTGTACCTTGTATTAAACAAAAAATGTTAATTTCATAGCTGAAAGTCTTTTTTGAAAATAAAGGATTAGGCCATCGCTAGCAAAAAAGACCAGGTCCAGGGACATAAAGTCTTAACCACTAGCAGCATGGCTAGATGAAAAGACAATTTTTTTTTTTGTCACTTGGTATTCGGGAAGGATTGATGCAGCTCTAAAAGTGGCTTACTAATAGCCCTCTTTTAATTGGAAGAAAACCATTCTTAGGGAAAAACAAGTTTGTGATAACAAGTTCTTTTGGACACCCTTTTCCAGTGAATCTTGAGAAAATAGTTTGGAGAAGTGATGTTCTGTAGGCTGCTACTAAACTGCAGCTTATTGTCAGAGCAAATAAACTTTGCTAGTTGAATACACCTCAGTAACTTGAAAGTTATTGCACAGAGCCTGCTCAAACAAGCAGCTCTAGAACAAAGAGGGAAAAAACAACGAATGCTGAAGGGAATTAATTTTAGCAATTGCCTTGGCAAAAAACATGGCTTTGAGGTTTAAGTAACAAATGAAGATAAAACACACCATGTTAGTAATATGCCCACTTTTAGCTTTTGCTGACCCAAAATTAGGTGCCACTGGGAGCAGACAAGATTCATGACCACGTCACTTATACTACAGTTTGTATTAACCACCTTTACAGATTTCTTTGTCCAAGATGTTAAGGCATGAGATACTTACGTTTGAGGGGTATAGAGACCTTGTTTATTGAAGTCTTGGGATCTTAACTCCTGCATAGAGAGGCGGCCAGCACCACCGGTAGAAACTGAACTGCGCTTCATGCTTATGACCTGCATTCATGAATTCAGTATTAAAAAAATATTTCCAGGTGGCACTATTAAGCACCAACTATTCTATTTTTCCTCAGAAATGCAGTCAAGTTCCATTGTTTCTTCAAAATACTCTTTTCTCAGGGAGTTAATCCTGAATTCCCACAAACATAGATGAATCTGAGCAGTCTTTTTTAGTTGGTCCACACCTATCAACAGGCTAACTGTCCTGTTTCGCTCACTCTCTGGCTGCTGTGATTTAATTTAGAACATCTCATAATTTTTTTTTTCTTGTCAACTCTTGGTTTGAACATGTATTTCTTCTTTAATACACGCTTCTGCATTAATTAACTTTTCTACTCTAACCCATATGCCCACTCCCAATCAGTACTTGAAATGTACTCTTAAGATATAAAATGGGCTTCCAGCCGTACTTACACGGTCCGCAGGATGTTACACTAGCATCTCAAACACACCACACAGTTCCTTTCCCTGCTCCCATCAATTCTTCCCCCTTTCCGGTCTCCAGCCTCTCCCCATCAGCGTCCCCCTACGCCATCCCTTTTTACCCTGGGAAATCTCTGCCAGTAGAAATTGACTGGACTCCAGAAAACGAGCGCCTCGCAGGTTCGGCGGGAGGCTTCCCGCAACAGCAGACATTAAAGTATTGCTCCGCAGGGCCTCTAAGTTGTGAGCGCTATCGCCTTTTCCCTCCAGACCAGTTCTGCTGCCACAGAATTAACCCAAAGTAATTACTTACCTTTCTTCCAGCTTTCTGACGGGTTCCAGACACCAAATTTCTATAAACCGTGCAATTACCGGCTACACAGAACGATAACCGCCAAAACACCAGGCCCTCGGTCCACCCACCCGCGCCGTTAGAATTTTAAAATCTCCGCTGATCTTACGTCATCACGCGCCCGCGCGTGCGCACCTCACGCAGAGCGACTCGTCGCGGGCAATATGTGTCGTGCAGGTGTGTCGCTCCCCGCCGTCTCGCCGGGCACGCTGGCGTCTCTCGGGCACTGTAAGCGTCCCCTACGAAGGCTAGTCCAACCCCTAAGTTTAGCTCTGAAGACCTGAGTGCTCTAAGTTGCTGAGTAGCGGGCAGAGCACGCTGAATTGCCCTGGAAATGCTTTGTCCGTACAGCAACATGGCCGCGCCTGTTGACTCTTAGAGAAGAAGGATCCATTTCCCCTTTTGGACGAAAGGGGTGTCTTTCATGATCACTGTTTAGATGGGTGGTCTTTTCGTGATGCAAGTCTGGGAAGGCGGCGTGCACTTTTCTAACAAGGGAAGCGGTGAAGTAGGAGATAGTAACTACTGAGTTTGGTCGCAGTCGGTTCCCAAGATCGCGCCGGTGTGGCCTCCCAAGGTTCGGGTTCAGAATTGGCTTGCTAGGATTTTATGACCCTCTGGTCTGGTGGTGTCCTGTGAGAAGCTAGGAGGAATTCAAGTGGTTAGGGGTGAGGCTGGTATGAAGCAGAGAAGTAGGGGAGAGTTGGAGGTGCAGTGAGCGTGGATTGATTGCTAAAATAAATAGGACACTCCCGCTTTTCTGAGTTTGAACTCAGAGACAAACACTGCCTAATAACTAGAGAATGGTGGGGATGGATGAAGAGCTCAGAGCCAAAGTCAGGATACCCGGGTCCTGCAGCAGTTGTGCCACTAACTATAGAGCTGTAATTTTGGCCATGCCATCCCTCCTGAGTTTCAGTCTTCCTATCTAAATTTCTAGCCCTCACTAGCCATTACAGGACCTCCTCACCACAAGTGGAGACTCTGAAGGGAGGATCAGTACTAAATTTACCAACAGCATTTTTATTTTGTTAATCCTCATGGGAGACCAGGGATGAACTTGCAACCCAGGTACTGCCAGTGACTGGGAATCGGACCGGCGACCCCTTTGGAGGATGGTCGATGCTCTAACCACTGATTACACCGGCCAAGGCACCAATAGCATTTATTTGCGCACTATCTTTGTGTTAGGCTCTGCACAGCACTTCATGTGAGTTATCACATTAAATTCTCTAAACTGCCCTCCGACGTGTCATATAAAAATGGTGCAGTTGTGGCTCAGTGAGATGGAATAGCTTAGCTGTCGTGGTCCCAAAGTTAATACACGGAGTTAAAAGTTTGAATCTAAATGTTACTAGTATTAACCATGCTATTAGTCACTTATATAGTTCTTATTTTGTTCCCCCTCTTCGGTGCTCCACTACACTAGATTGAGTAAGCAATATTCAGAACTGAAAACCATCTTGAGAAAAGATTAGGAAGTTCTGAAAAATGTAATTGCTGCAGGAGGGCTGCTCCAGATACAGATCTGGACTCTGTAACCTTGCAGTTTTACTATGGTTTAGGGCTTCTGTTGTGCTGTTAAAATTGCATTTTGCCTTGCTTTTACCCTTTTTGCACTTCATTGGTACAAGTGGTTAAGTAGGGCAATGATACTAGAGAATGGGCTGACTTCCTATGGCAAATATAGTTTAAAAAAGCAAGAGTTGCTTTGCCAACAACTCCACCAGATATTGTGACCTTCTTTAGGTTTATCTCATTTTAAAGGGTGGATTGCACATAGGTAATACAGTATTCTTTGCTTTGATAGGACACTTTTCATCTGTTAAGGATTCAGTGACTTTCTGATTTGGAAGATGTGGACTTAACCAAGCAGGGCCCAGGAAGATAGGAGGATCAAACTGGGATTCTAGAAATAAGATCATCTTTGGCCAAGTTGGCTGAACACTTTGGATTGTCAGCCCTGATATTAAAAGTTTATATTAAAACATTATAATTTTGCTTAAACCTGCTGTATATCATGAATGTTAAATTTTCTTCTGTGTACATGTCAAATTTATTTACTTGTACATCAAATCTACCTTTGTGTATCAAGTATATTTTTGAAGTACAGGACATTTAAGAACTTCACCTGGAAAGTTGGGTTTTACTTCTTCACAGAAGAGAATGTCTGTGGTGCACCAGCTGTCACCAGGATGGTTACTGGATCATCTTTCTTTCATTAACAATATAAACTATCAAGTTCACCAGCATCATGAGCCTTGTTGCAGTAGAAGTGAGCCCTCTACTTCTCTCCACCTTGATTCTATGTCCTCTTTTGGATCCTCAGCTAAATTTATTGCTTCTGATTCTACCACTAAGCCAGAGAATGATGATGGAGGAAGTTGTGAAGTGTTCATACAACAATATATTTTTCGATCTGAACTGTTTGATATCACTAAACCTTATATAACTTCAGCTGTTCACAAGGAGTGCCAACAAAATAATGAAAATGAAGATCTAATGAACGGTGTTAAAAAAGAAATCTCCATTTCTACTCTTGGGAAGGTAGAAAGTTTTAAGACATTTTTATATTTCTACAGAAAACTAAAGAAATTTATTCCATATCTCAAATATTTTGTGACTTACTAAATATAAAGAGTAAAGCATAAGAAGGCTTTAGTGTATCCAGAGTAATTTTTAAGTATTTGCAAACAATCTTTGCTCTACAATCCCTGCCTTTATGGATCTTATAATTGTAAAGAGAAGAAAGATATTAAATAAGAGGCATATTGAGAATTAGAATAAGGAAAGTAATAGAGATAATGTATTACATTGTTATAGGTACCTCAAGTAAAAATTTTAATATTCTTGTGATTTTCTTCTTGTACATATATTTTTTCTCTTTCAACAAATATTTATTGGTCATCTGCTATGTGTCAGGCACAGAAACTATTTCTGAACCTTCAGTAATATAGTATGTAGGTAATTTATGATTACTATTACTAATTCAGGCAAATTATAGTAAGCAGATGTAAAGTACTTTATAGTTTTCCTAGTATGGATATTGTCTTTTACTGTTTAGATATCCTATATTGGGCACATTTCTCATTTTAATATAGAAAAAATATAGATGAGCCTATGTAATGAATGTTATCTTGACAAAACTTACCCTTTTAAAAAAATATTTTTATTGATTTTTTTTTAGAGACAGAGGAAGGGAGAGAGACATAGAAACATTGATGTGAAAGAGAAACATTGATTGGCTGCCTCCTGCGTGCCTCCTACTGGGGATCGAGCCCACAACCTGGGCATGTACCCTGACTGGGAATTGAACAGGGACCTCTCAGTCCATGGGATGAAGCTCAATCAACAGCCATGCTGGCTGGGTAAAACTTACCTTATTTTTGATATGCTATGACAAATTGTGCAGTTAGCTTAACCTTAAGTCCATTTATTTATTCAGCCAACAAACATTTATTGTTAACCTGCTAGGAGTTTGCCGCCATGTAAACACTGAGGTTTCAGCAATAAAAAGTACATAGACCCTGCTCTGTATTGCACTGTTTTACGTATTTTTTGCTATGGAAGTTGTTAGTTATAGAACAGTGTTAATATGTCTGATTTGTATCTACCTCCCCCCCCCCAGATCAATTATAAACATCTATGAAGAGTATATTAGAAAGTTTTTTAGGTAATAGTACATAGATGATAGTTCTTCTCTTCAGAAATGAATTAAGTTCAGAATAATCATACCATATATATCAGCTGATAGATGACACTGGTGACTTTTTATAGAATGTCACAGTTTTCTTGTGTTCCATGGATGTTATTGCTACATTTTATCATTTGGTACTATTTCTTACTAGTAGCAGATAAGGCTGACGTGACCTTTTATCATCTATTAAATTTGTCATAAAAATAACAATTGTTTGGGAAAGCTTTTGTATCTTTTATCTGCACTGATTTTGACCTTTATAGTCAATTATTATGTCTTAAAGACTGAGATGCACAATATGGAAAATGTGATAAAGAAAAAATTCAAAATATTAATATTGTGATAGATGGCAATATCACTTTCTTCCTGTAATTTATTCTTTAGAAGCGTAAAAGGTGTGCTGTTTTCAATCAAGGTGAATTGGATGCTATGGAATACCATGAGAAGGTAAGGTGTGAAATGTTCATTGATAACGTTATAAGATTAATGTGAAGTAGTATAAATAAACAGACAATATAAATAAGGATGTTCTCAACAATCAAGCAATCATGTGATCAAGGTTAGAATTTCGTAGTGGATTGGTTTATTGTTACTTTTATGGTAATGAACTATTTAAACTAGTTTTTATTAAAATTTCATATACTCCTATTTTACATATTTAACATAAGTAAACTTTTGCTATATTGGTTAAGTTTAAAAATTTTATGTTATAAAATCCTATCATCCATAGCTAAAATAACTTATTAAGATAGTGGCAGAAAAAAGCATGAATAGTGTGAAGGATGTATTTCTTGAACTTAGAGATAATTGAGATAGATCTGGGAGTTAAAGAAATGAGAGAAAATGGGATACACAAATATTATAAACTTAACTTTAAGAAACACCTTCTAGCCCTGGCCGGTTTGGCTCAGCGGTTAGAGCATCCACCTGCGGTCCAGAGAGACACAGGTTTGGTTCCCGCTAAGGGCATGTACCTGGGTTGCAGTTTGTTCCCGGCCCTGGTTGGTTGTGCAGGTGGCAGCCACTCAATGTGTCCCTTTCACATCGATGTTTCCCTCTCTCTTCCTCTCTCTCCCTCCCACTCTATCTGCAAAAAATGGAAAAATGTCCTTGGGTGAGGATAAAAAAAAAAAAAAGAAACGCCTTCTATTGAAACAGGAAACGGGGTTGGAATTTGGCTTTGGGGGCATGATAGTTAACAGTTTTGCACATGTTGAATTCATGTGATGGAATGACAGATTTTTTCCCTATCTTTTTTGTGGTAAAATATATATAAAATCTACCATTTTAACCTTTTTTTAGGTGTATAATTCAGCATTAAGTGCATTCACACTATTGTATCACCATTGCCCATTTCCAGAACTTTTTCATCATTCCAAGTGGAATCTGCACCCATCAAATAATAACTTCCCATTCTCCACTTCCCCTAACCCCTGGTAACCTCTATTCTACTCTCTCTCTTTATGAATTTGCCTATTTTAGGTGTTTCATATAGTGGAACCATCCAATATTTATTTTTGTATCTATATGATTTATTTCACTTAGCATAATGTCAACAAAGTTTATCCATGTTGCAACATGTATCAGAATTTCATTCCTTTTTAAGGTTCAGTAATATTTTATTGTATGTATATACCACATTTTGTTTATTCATTTGTTTTGTTTCTACCTTTTAGTTATTGTGAATAATACAATTAGAGTATTGGTACACAAATATGTATTTGAGTCCCTGTTTTCAGTTCTTTTGGATATATATCCAGAAGTGGAATTACTGGATCATATGATAATTCTATTTCTAACTTTAGGAACTGCCATATTGTCTTCCATGGTGGATATACTGGAAAGGAAAATAACTCAGCTTTTTCCTTTCTATATAGGTGAAAACCCAGTTCTTTTCTTGCTGTATTTTCCTTCCCTGTGAGTCTTCTTTACTACTCACATGGAACACTTTGCTTCTAACACTTCTGGTCACCAAATGTATGGAGGTTTTTCTCTTCACTAAGTAATTCTCCTTGGCACCAGCTGGGTGTTCAAGAATTCAGTTCAATTCTGACACTGTCTATCCAGAGATAGCATCAGATTCCACAGGTTTAGGGCTCAGTCCCACAAGCCCTAAAGATGCCAGTTGCAAGCCCAGGTTGTCATCTGTGTGTCTGATCAATTTTCTATAGATCATAGGTTCCTATGACCCCCTCCTTAGGTTTGATTAGTTTTCTAGAGCAGGTAACAGAACTCAGGGAAAGACTTGTCAGTTTATTAAAGGATATGATAAAGGATGAACAGCCAGATGAAAAGACAAAGGGCAAGGCATGGGAGGATCCTGGCACAGGAGCTTCTGACTTCGTGGAGTTATGGTGTGTCATCCTCCCTGTATGGGTATGTTCACCAACCTGAAAGCTCCCTGAACTGTGTACTATTGGGATTTTCTGGATGCTTCCTCATGTAGGCATGATCAATTATAAACTCCATTTCCAGCCCCTTTTTCACCTCCGGACAAGTTGGGGTGGGGTGCTGTAAATTCCAACCTTTAAATCATGGCTTGTTCTTTCTGGTGACCAGTGTCAATCCAGGAGTCATCCAGGAGCCCACTTAGGGTCACCCTATTAGAAAAAAGATGTTCCTAGTGCTCTTATCACTTAGGAATTTACACGCAGTTTTTAGGAACACTGTCAGGGGCAGGGTCAAAGACAAATAATGAGAATAAAAGATATTCCTAGTGTTCTTATCACTTAGGGAATTAAAGGATTTTACAAATTCTGTGCCAGGAACCTGGGGCAGAGACAAATATATATATATATATATTTTCTGTTATTTTATATGTACCATTTCACATTTCCACCAGCAATGCACAAGGGTTCCAATTTCTCCACATCCTAGTCAACACTTATTATTTTATGGTTTTTTTGTTTGTTTTTTGAATAACTGTCCTAATGGGTGTGAATACTATCTTATTGTGGTTTTCATTTGCATTTCCCTAACGATTTGTGACATTGAGCATCTTTTGATGAGCTTTTGATCATTTGTATATCTTTGGAGAAATGCGTGTTTATGTCCTTTGCTCATTTTAAAATTGTGTTTGTGTTTCTTTTTATTTTTTTATTTTTTTTTTGTTTTTTTTTTTTAAATTTTTATTTATTTATTTATTTTTTTGTTACAGATATTTTACCTTTTTACCCCATTGGCACCCCCCCACCCCCACCCCCCCCCACCCTGTCCCCGGCTTAGTTGTCCATGTCCATTGGTCATGCATACATGCATATAAGTTCTGTGGTTTATCTCTTCCCACCCCCCCCACCCCCCATCCCCTCTTCTGAGGGATGTCAGTCTGTGCCCCACTTCCATGTGTCTGGGTCTACTGTATTCCTCAGACTGTTATGTTCATTATATTCCGTATATAAGTGAGATCATGTGGTATTTGTCCTTCTCTGCTTGGCTTCTTTCACTTAGGATAATACTTTCCAGGTCCCTCCATGTCGTCTCAAAGGATAAGAGATCTTTCTTTCTTACCGCTGCATAGTATTCCATTGTGTATATGTACCACAGCTTTTTGATCCATTCGTCTACTGGTGGACACTTGGGCTGTTTCCAGATCTTAGCTATTGTAAATAGTGCTGCTATGAACATGGGGGTACATATATTCTTCCTGATTGGTGTTTCAGGCTTCCTAGGGTATATTCCCAGCAGTGGGATCACTGGGTCAAATGGAAGTTCAATTTTTAATTTTTTGAGGTAGCACCATATTGTTTTCCATAGCGGCTGCACCAGTCTGCATTCCCACCAGCAGTGTACTAGAGTGAGTCCCCTTTTCTCCACACCCTCGCCAACACTTGTTGTTTGATGATTTGTTGATGGCGGCCATTCTGACAGGTGTGAGGTGATACCTCATTGTTGTTTTAATTTGCATCTCTCTGATGATTAGTGATGTTGAGCATTTCTTCATATGTCTCTTGGCCATTTGTATGTCCTGTTTGGAGAGGTGTCTATTCAGCTCCTCTGCCCATTTTTTAATTGGGTTCTTTGTCTTCCTTTTGTGGAGTTGTATGAGCACTCTGTATATATTGGAAATTAACCCCTTATCTGATACATCATTGGCAATGATGTTCTCCCATACAGTGGGTTGCCTTTCCATTTTGATGATTGTTTCTTTTGCTGTGCAGAAGCTTTTTAGTTTGATGTAGTCCCATGTGTTCATTTTCTCCTTTATTTCTGTTGCCTTAGGTGATGTATCAGTGAAAATTCTGCTCCGTATGATGTCCGAAATTTTGTTGCCTACATTTTCTTCTAGAATTTTTATGGATTCACGGGTCACATTTAAGTCTTTTATCCATTTTGAGTTTATTTTTGTGTATGGTGTAAGTTGATGGTCTAGTTTCATTTTTTTGCATGTAGCTGTCCAATTTTCCCAACACCATTTATTAAAGAGGCTGTCTTTACTCCACTGTATGCTCTTGCCACCTTTGTCAAATATTAATTGAGCGTATTGCCTTGGGTCCATTTCTGGGTTTTCAGTTCTGTTCCACTGGTCTATATGCCTGTTCTTGTGCCAGTACCAGGCTGTTTTGGTTACAGTCGCTTTGTAGTATAACCTGATATCTGGTATTGTGATCCCTCCAACTTTGTTCTTCTTTTTCAAGATTGCTGTGGCTGTTCGGGGTCTTTTTTGGTTCCATATGAACTTTTGAAGTATTTGTTCTAGTTCTATGAAATATGTCGTTGGTATTTTGATGGGGATTGCATGGAATCTATAGATTGCTTTGGGTAGTATGGACATTTTAATGATGTTAATTCTTCCAATCCATGAACAGGGTATGTGCTTCCACTTCTTTATATCTTCCTCTATTTCTTTTTTAAATGACCTGTAGTTTTCTGCAAATAGGTCCTTTACTTCTTTGGTTAAGTTTATTCCTAGGTATCGTAATTTTTTTGGAGCGATGGTAAATGGGATTGTTTTTTCAGTTTCTCTTTCTGTGAGTTCATCATTGATGTACAAGAATGCCGTCGATTTCTTGACGTTAATTTTGTATCCTGCTACTTTGCCAAATTCATTTATTAAGTCTAATAGATTTTTGATGGAGTCTTTAGGGTTTTCTATGTACAATATCATGTCATCTGCAAATAATGACAGTTTCACTTCCTCCTTTCCAATTTGGATCCCTTTTATTTTTTCTTCATGTCTGATTGCTGTGGCTAAGACTTCCAGTACAATGTTAAATAAGAGTGGCGAAAGTGGACATCCCTGTCTTGTTCCTGTTCTTAATGGAAATGTTTTTAGTTTCTGTCCATTGAGTATGATGTTGGCTGTAGGTCTTTCATATATGGCCTTTATTATGTTGAGATATGATCCCTCTATTCCTACATTGCTGAGCGTTTTATCAGAAATGGATGCTGGATTTTGTCGAATGCTTTTTCAGCATCTATTGATATGATCATGTGGTTTTTATTCTTCA